ATTTCTAAGCATGTCCTTATTTTCATTTGGTATCCTCCAAACTTGGACCACTTCCATTCATCATATTCATTCTGATGCTTTATATTAAAATTTCATCCATTTTTTTCTCCTCTTTTTTTTTTTTTTACCCCAGTCCATTCCTACTTTTTCTTGTAGTTTAAATGGTATTGTTACATCTTTCATTTATTTAATATTTATTCATTTATTACCATTTCTATCTTTCTATTTTCGGAATAACCTCAGCTGAATTGTGATCTTCTCAGCTATAATCAGCCTCTGAAGATTTGAGAAAAAATGGCTGGTTTAGGTACATCTTTCTGACGTACCTCCACAAAGTATAATTTTGAAGGACAAAAAATAACTCTATTTACTTGCAAGTAAGGTGTGTTATTCCTGAGAGGAGTTATATTTTGGCATTCCACCGTTCTTGCACTTCTTGTGCCCTCAACCATCCAATCTCCAGGATAGGGCTTGAGTCTCATCTCAGAGACCCAGGGGAGCTATCCACTGGAGGACCAGACAGGGAAGCAAGCCGTCAAAAGAAACTCTGCCTAGATCACCCTGATGAGAAGAGACATGGGAGAGTGGTGACAACTGCCAGAGATAATGCATTTTGGAGAAATCATCTTGTTGAAAAGTATCTGAAGTTTCTGCAGAGGTAGACTTCTCTCTGGCAAGCAGTTGCATTTCGGCGCTTGCACGATAGGAACACCATTTGGGGAGCTATTTAAAGTCGAGGAACCCCTTGTTGAACGAGATTCTTAGTGGGTAGATTAGATAAAAGCAAGGATGCTTATAAAAGTATACAGGGAGGATTAGAGAGCTGCCTTGCCAACCTTGGGCATGGAAAGCATGTCAGAGGTTTGGCATTTGTTTTTTTCTTGTCAAGTGAAAGGGGTGTCATTTGGGCGGAAGGGAGAAGATAGAGATGAGAAGATTCCTTCTGAAAGTAATAATAGTCTATGAACCGTGTGAAATAGTTGTTGGAGGGCGTTGCCTGGCTACACCAACACTAAATGCTATGGACAGCTGTTAATATTCCCATACTAGAATCTTTCTTCCACCTGCCTAGCACCCACATGCCTTTCTTCTGGTGACAGCACTTCATTTTTCCTCTGAGCAGGTGATCTAATTCCTAAGGCGAGTGACGCTCAGGCCTCAAGTGATCGTCAAAAAAGGCATCATCTTGTCCTGGGGTTGTTAAATGCTGGTGGGATATAAACCCAGAGCTGGTGGCAGCCGTTTTGGGGAAGAGACAGCCTGAGAACACTTCCAACACAGAATAGAAGAAAGCAGAGTTAAAAGATGAAGGAACTTAAGTTTCTGGTATCATTGTTTGAACAACTGGGTACAGCTATATCTGAATTTTTTTTCAGTTATATAAGCTAAAAAAAAAATTTTTTTTTTTAAGTGTAAGATTGTTTCAGTTGAATTTCTCTTGTGTGCAACCAGAGCCTCTCCTGGTAAGAATGATTGACTAGAACCTTGGAGAACGGGATTTTCTTGCTGAAGGGAAGTGAAAGTCTGAGGTAGAGTACTCTGGGAGGCAGACGGGACCTCATTTCAGATGGCTAACTAAAGACGTACTCAAGAGACTGAACAATGTGGCAGTACAAGGTCACTGTCTTAAACCCCACTCCAGACCATACGACATTTAATAGTGACCAATTCCCATCTCTCCACCTTCCTTTTCTCTGACTTTAGCAATTTCCTGATCAGAGTGAGTTTGGGAATATGAACAAAAACTGGCTCCATTTAGAGGGGTGTTGACTTTGTAGGTGAAGTTGGAGGTGAAGAAGAAATATTTGTAAGCCAAGTGTAGGTAGGTACCACTGATGATTTGCTCTGGAAGCTTTCTCAACCAGGACAGAAGGGCAACCGGATGCTCTCAGAGTGTCTACATGCCCTGTTTGGAGACGTTATCCACAATTGTTCGATCCAGAGACCATTTGTTTCTGACTTCCATTGCATGATTTAAAACTCCGACATTCCATTGCCTGCCTTGGTCCGAATGATCTGCTCTGGCAGCCTCTGGTTGGTATCTGGGGCTGGATTTGAGAAGTAGTTGGGGGAGGTACCTGTCCATTCTACATGGAGTAAAGACCTCCGTCAGGGCTCTTATTGTTGGTAAAAGATCACCCTTACTTCCTAAAAGCTACAGTTACCCAGTGTAGATGACAGATGTTTGCATGAACCTTAAAGACACAAGGTTCAATTGGACAGCAGGTGCAGCTCTATGAATGCACAGGTGTTAAAAGAGCAGCTAAATATAAGCTGCTCCAATCTGTTTTATTAGTAGTCCACTCCTCCTTGTCCTCATGAAGAGTTCCCTTTTGAGGCTGCTTTTTCTCAAGCATTTCAGAGAGATAAAGGGGACAGAGACACAGAAAGGCAAAGAGTGACATCTATTTAGTAAGAGCCAGATTTTGAGAATCTTTAGAATCAGACAGTGACAATGGCAAACTCGATTGTGTAAAGTACATTTTGAAGGACAAGAAAGATGCTTGGCTTAAGAAGATGTTTAAATATTTCCCTGTATGTAGGGGTCTTTCCTAAAATTTTTTTGATGTATCTTCTTCAGTTCTGGGAATGGCAAGCAACTTTCTTTCATTTTCTTTTACAAAGATTGTGTTCTACAAAGTTGCTCAAACTAGACTACAGTAGTTATTTATCTGAAGTGTTTAATTTCTGACGAGGGCCGAATCAACCTAGTCTTCACCCTCTCCTCCTTACTAGTTACCTTGAAGTGCTAAATCAAGTTTTTTAGTTACTCTCTGGCCAATTAACCCTTTTGACACTGGACTTAGTTAGCCAACAGATCCATAACACTGCAGTCACCATATGTCCTAGAATTCCAGGTATGGTCCCGATTTTAAATGTTCTGTTCTATTGTCCTCATATAATGATATCCTTCATTGCTGGCTTATGCCTCTTCAGTTGGGGTCTGGTGTGGAAAATACTGTCTTTATAGGCATAGTGAATGTTTAAGTTCAAAGAAGCCTCTAGCTCAGGTTATAAGGCATCCAGGTTACAATCTCGGGGCATAAGAAGGCTGGCACTGAGATTCCTTCTTAGAAGATCAACAAAATTAGGTTAGGGACAGGAATACAAATTATGTGAGATAAGCAGAGAATCCACAGGAGGTCTTCTATCAGCTCGAATTTCCCCTTAGAGAGGGCAGTCTAGAGATAGCACAGTTTCATGCTAATAAGAATAAACAAAGGGGAATGAGGCCAATTCACAGTTGATAAATTTTGAGGAAAAGGAAAAACCTCCTTAGCTGATAACAATACTAAAGAGTTGATTAGCCCCTAAATTACTCTGCAGTGTCTCTGCAGACCTGGCCCTGCAGTTCGCTTCCCTCTGAGAGTCTGTAGCCTCCTCAATGTAATCTCCTTCTAGGAGACAAGATCTGAAATACATGATCAAGGAGAAAGGGAAGCTCCCCTTCCTCCCTAGGCAATAGCAACAACGGGTAGGGGGTTCTTTGGGGGACGCTAAGGAGGGGAGTTGCCATATGGGCTGTGGTTCAGAGAGGATTAATGCTGCCATTTCTATAAACACATTGTTGAGAAGAGCAGGGGCAACAAGGTATTATCAGACAGGAAAAGCTACCAGGGCTAAGGACCCTGAAAGCTATCAGGAGCAGGAGGAAAGGAGGGTTTAGCTCCGAATTTGTGGTTCCAGTTTTTTGACAGTCCAGGTTAAAAGAAAACAGGGACAACAGTCAACATGCTGCTAGCAATTAGAGGAGAGAATTGCAGCTCCTTGACAGAAAGAGAAGGTACACATAACATTTGGTTTGAGAATGACTGTGGGCCCATGAGGGTGAGGGTGTGTATGTGTGTGTGTGGTGTGTTTTGGGGTGCAAGGGAGGTTGAGGACTTAATTCAGGTCACTGTTTCCTAGAGAACAGTAGCTAGGCCCACTCTATATGTAGAAACGAAAAGGCTGTTCAATCTTCTCTGACAACCTTCTATGAAATTCATTTAGTGAGGAAGAGCACTTTTGGAAACAAAGGAGGGGAAATTGGCTAATAATAGCTGCCACTTACAGCATACTAGGTGCCTGGAGATATGCTATGTACTCTGCATACATTTTTTTCACTTTATCCTTTTCAAAAATCTTTTATTCCTATTTTATAGATGAAGCAATTGAGGTTTAAAGAGATTTTAAAAAAATCTCGTGTAAGGACACGTAATAACTATAGAGTAAAGATCTGTCTGACTCCAAAACCTGTACTCTTTAGCTAGTATCATGTTATTCCTGTGGGCATTCCCCAAAGAGCAGGGGGAACACACCCTCATCCACAGAGGCCTAGATAGGAACTACAGCCTTCCTAAAAGCACAGTCCTAGATATATGTCAAAACTGAACAGCTATCAGGGCCAACTATTCCATCACTGAAAAGTAATCACCAACTCTCCACTCTGAGATTAAAATAGGGCAGCATGAGGGATGTGCTCAATGGGGAAAATAATTATTCTTAACAAAGTCGCTTAGACTTGGGTGGAATATCACAACACTTTTAACAGGGTGTAAAGTTAAGGATAAACAGACACTAGAGTACAGCTTCAAGGGGACTGTTCTCTGTGACTGTTTAATTTTTTCCATCCATGCTTTCAACAGAAGAGCTTAAAAAAATGCCTTGCATCTTTTGGAATGTTAGTTATTAAAGTACTGCTTTGGAGCTCCCAATTCATAGAGCCCTAAATACTGTAGTTGAGGAGAACAGTCCCTCTTGGATTAAGAAAAAGAATGGAAAACAATGGATATTATACAGTGGCTTGGTTACCTTGCCTTTTCCCCGAATGATAACCATCTTGCGTTTGTTTCAGGAAAAATAGGGGGCACGATCATTCCATCAGCACTCCTACATTTTTCAATCAGTCTAATCTACGGGGATCAGACTTTTTTTTGGCAACAGATAACTACGTACTCCCGGTAACTTAGAAACCTGGGCTCTGGCACATGCTTGTTTCCACGCTCAGCATTTCTTACCTCCTTCATTGTCCTTGCTGTCTGTGCAGAGGGTCTCCATGGCTACATCACAGCCCGCGCCTCTCCACCCCGGCTGGCAAACGCAGTGCCAGCCGTTTTGGTCCAACGTGCATCTTCCATTGCTGTTGCACAGGCCAGGACAACCCTCTGTCAAGACAAAGAAGGAGAACACCAGTGATTTGAGTATTGAAAGTTTTTGCACCTAGAATAAACAGATAAGGGACACTTAGTGGGAACAGGCCTTTATAAACAGCACAAATACTGTAATTGCACATGGATAGAAACAGCAACATTATCTAAGGAATCTAATTCTTATCCAAGTGGCATCTTTGATTGGCCTGGCCCTTGAGACACCACTTACCTGTGCAGGACAGAAATATATGCAACGATCCACTAAATAGCTGCGGGCCAGACAAAATTAACTTAATTTTTTTTTTTCCTTTAGCAAAGCAACAAGGTATACTGTATGGTGTGAAAACGCATCTGGACAAAATAATTTCGGAATCCCTAGTCTAGATTTGTAATCTGTTGTCAACATCACTGGTCATTTATCAGGATATGCCTTCTTAAAGCACCTTGTTGCTTTAAAAAATTCCCTCAAGATTCAAAGCATGAAAGTGGGTATGAGGATATGAATGATGTTAAAAGAGAACGTTAATTTTATCTGGCCTCAGAGTTGCCGTATATTCATGTGAAATTACAGTGCATTAAATAATTGCACAAAGTATAGGTCAGTTTCAATGACTATACTTTATGCCAAGAGTACATTCCTTTTCACAGAATAAGCAAAGCCCAGGAAATAGTGAAGCAGCTTAGCATCTATTCTAACAAACATTAGGATTCAGGCTGCATACGGATGGGACAGGACCGACAGGATTTCCAACTAAATGTAATAGCTGTGCATATTTGATTACTTAGGACGGACAAAATGAAATACCATAAGGACCACAATAAAACATTGATAGACTGAACAAAAACACGGTAGTGACGTGCTTCAAGACAGATAGCGAAGAGTGATATTTTGTGACAATCTCCCTAAGGCTTTTATGCTGTTACCTTTATATCCTATCTTGTCTGCTTTTATGGGCAAGAAGGGAAAATTTGGGAAACAATTAAAATAATTTAATATACCCAAAATCTATAATTGTTTCAGTCTAACATGACATTTAAAAAAAACAATTTTTGTCACTTCCTACTGATGATATCTGGCATGCAGCCAACATGATCTGTTTATGAGGATGACGCTTAGGAAGATTCTGGTGTTCTTGTTTATGAGTGTGATATGACACCAACAAAAGCAAGGACAGAAATGCTCTCAGATTGTAAGAATAACTGACTATTAATCAGATCTCTTTGGACAGAACTATTTATAATTTGGTAAAAATATAAGTTAATAGAAATACTTGCTCTAGCAATTGGGATTTGTTAGCTTCTTAGAATGCTACTCTTGTTTCGGTGATAAAATTTAGGGGAACAATCTGTTTATTTTAAGTCTGTATTAAAAGAATTATTCATGTATCGGTTTCCCCTCCTCCACGGTGGAACTTGAAAAGAAAATATCTCAAAGAGGCATTCTGTCTCTTAAGATTAGAGTTAACAGAAAGAAGAATATTTTGACAGTCTCTCGTGGAAGAGTGTAACGAAATTATCCTTATGGATACCATCAGGTCAGGAAGAGATTAGTTTTGCTGCTGCTTTTTTTTTTTTTTTTCCAAAAATTACCATCTGTATTTATGGATGATTCAATGCTTAAAAGGTGAATTTTCCTCATGAATGCGTTTATATTGTTTTATTTTTACGAAAAAGAAAGGTTTAATTGCCCCACTGACAAAGAGGTGCAGCAGCTAACTGCATGCACACAAGAGTTGTTATATGAAAGCCTGGATATTGCCATGAATATTTTCATATTCTAATGAAAAGCACAAACAAGGAATAGAAAATAGGTAATCTGAGGAGAAAGGGAAAGGGAATTTTCTCTTCTGAAAAAATTTTTGCACCTATTTCTACAATAACTGAAGACATGAGAATCTGCTGTTTTCTGCCGAACAAGGTGATCAGTTGTTTTTATAGAAACTGCACAATATTTTGCAGTTTTTTTAAAAAAATAAAAGAACATAAATTATGATATATTTTGAAGCATTTACAAAAGGCCAAAGAAGTTTCCATATGAGATAAATGAGATTTCTCTCAACATATGTTAACCAGAATCTTCTTTAGATTGACAATTTCTTACTCTGTGATAAAAGAGTATTTGTCAGTCTTTAATTTAGAATTTACAGCTCATTAGCTGAAATGCCAAAAATGAAGATCTTAAAGCAGAAAAAAAAGTCCTAAAAAACAAAAAACAGCAAATATACTGTTATCTTCAGTTTTTGGTTCCAAAGAAAACTAATGCTTTTACATAGCAATGAAATCTGTGATAACCCAAAATTATAAAAATGAGACACAGACATTTAAGTCTCAATACTTTAAATCCAAGGCATTTCACATAATGTAAGCCTGATTGATAATTTACAAACTATGCATGAAAAACAGTCTACTGTCATACCTAGAGCAATCTGATACACGGTTATATATAGATATATATGTAGATATGTCAAAGAGCAAGTATACAGTACCTTTAACTATCTTATCCAAATAGTGAGCTTGGGAAATTAAAAAGGAGAAAAGAACAGACAGACATTTCAGAAGTGTCACATGGGACAAGAAAATTTTCAGAATTTACATGCAAATCGAGTAGCTGCAGCTGACATAAGACTCACATCACACGACAGAGATGTACTTCATATCTTCTAAAAATGCAATGTATTCATGTTTTATCAAATGTAGTCACAATTCCAGGAAATACTCAGCATTTTCAAGGAAAGTATGCAGGTAAACTAACACTACTTTTCACAGATTATTTAGAATGCACTCCACCCTCATCTTTTTGAGATTATAATTTATAATAGCTAAGTAGAAATGGAATCAATTCTTTATTACTAAAGATCTTTGGAAATTTATAACTATGATATCTACAAATAATCAAAAACTTTAAAAGTAAATAAGCAAAAAAAGAAGAAAGAAATTGAGACTCCTTGAGCAAATGTAACATGTTTACATTATATTTGAAAAAGGCACGTATAAGTTCTGCAGAAAATGATTATTCAGTAGCTCTTGACTGCACGCCAGACAGACAATGATGTATCACAGATGTAGCCCATTAGGACAGGGGAGTGTTCTAAGATCTGGTTTATTTTCAGGAGTCGACTGGAATAGGCTCTGTTTCTCACAAAAGGAATAGTCGGGATTGAGCCTGAGTCTTTTGCTGTACCTGCCCCTGCCCCTGTCCATGTATCTTTCATGAGGTTATAATTAGGCTACACCTTTCCTCCTGAAAAGAGACATAAATGCTTCTCTCCATGTAGAGACCTAATATATTCTTAATAAGCCTCAAATCTTCTTGCTTTGTCAAAATTCATACATCTTTAATGATCTAAAATTGCTTTTCAAAGATGCTTATGTTGATTATTTTTCATTACTGGCATACGCAAGTGGTAGCAGAACTCTTAACAGAATGATTTAAACTGTAACTTTCAGTTGAGCCATGCAGGTCTGTGGTTCTGTCATGTGCGTAAACAAAACCGTAAATGGTTTTGACACACACTGTACTGTATATATAAGAGGATTCTTCACTTTGCCACAGGATTCCATTAAAGGCTTCTCAATTGCATTGAAAAATAAACATGTTTATAGCTAATTGACAATATATTTCAGGGAAAACTAAGGGGAAGAAGAAATAGTATTAGGCACTGCTCTAAAATTATAACTCAATAAAAATAATTCACCTCTTAAATGTTAAAATAATGATGTATTATTGCATAACATCATTCATATAATTTCGTCATATAACCTAGAAGAGCCCCATAGTAGCTCAATTGCTGATTTGAACATAAACAAGTACCATTAAAAATTCTAGGGTTTCCGAATCAGAAAAGGTAGAATTTCTGAGGGAATTTTAGTTTACAAAAATTAATCAGTAACACTGACCATAGTTGTAGAGTAAACCTATTTGCTTTTATATCAGGTCTACTTTGGTTAACACAACCAAAGAAAGAACACAATTTAATTCTGATTTGAATTAGTAGTTTTAAGGGAGGACTAAATTATTTCTAATCAACCAATCCCATTATTTTAACAAACAGAATCAATTATGGAAAACAGTGGATTGATTTAAGGAAAGGTAAGTTTGTCACTGGGTCACAAGAATATCAAAAGTGGAGCTGAAAGTAGAAAATAAATTTAAAATATATAACAGGTCAAAGTTAACATAGCACTTTAAATGTTAGAAATATTTAACACAAATTTTGCAAAATGCTAAAAACCAACCATAAGAAAAACATCTGTACTGAGAAAAAGATACCAAGATTTGTCATTTGCATTTTATATAACAGAGAATAATTGTGAGGCTGCTAGCTTAAAACTAGGAGAGAAAAGGGAAAAAACAACTATATATTGGCCTTGAAGAGTAAAATTTCTGACAGTAGCCGCAGAAGGCTGGTTCTAAATAATGAAGAAGTTGAAAGGTGATGTCAACACATGAGGTTCAAATAATTATTAAAAGTTAGAATTGCAACAATAAAAACATCACTATAATATAAATCACTACAGGAAATAATCAGAAAAACGCAGGCATGTTGTAAGAAGCCATTAGGAACAATAATCGTAAAAACAATACAGTATATTTAAAAATTAATACACCTAGCAATTGCTAAAATGCACGTTAGGTTGCAGAAAAATTATTTTGAAAACTAACGAGTGTGTTCTCACACTAAAGTCATTCCTATTTGATCTACTAACAAGTTTTAAATTTGTTTTATGGAATAAAACTCTGATAAAAATGGGTGCTAGACACACAAAATGGAGCCCTTTAAAACACTTTTCTCCGGTAAAATGTTGTATTCATAAAATAACTTTCCCTGGAGTTTCAATTATTTATCTTGTAAGAAGACCCATGTGGCACACATGGGGTGAGTATTACCATTTTCCTAGAAGATGGTGATTTAATCTTTTGTGCGTCTCAGATCTCTGAGTAGACTGCTGAAAGTTACGGATCCTTTCCCCAGAAAAATGCACATATGCTCAAAAACACAAAATGCTGCTTGTGATTTCCGTTTTTCCAAGAGCTCTGGTTCTAGCACTTACAGATTATGAACACCTGGCTGATCTATTAATGATTCCCAAATTTCTAGCTCGGGCCCAGGCACCTTGCTCCTAGTTCAGAGTATTTTCAGAATGATCCAGGGACACACATGAAGCTACTCTGCCCCTAGCCTCGCACCGTGAAGATACTAACAAGGGCTTACTTTGTGCGACACACTATTCTCAGTGCTTTACAGTATTCTCTCATTTAACCTTCGCCACAACCCTGTGTTGTAAAATTGAGACAGTAAATAGACTTGGGACAGTAAACACAGTTGAGGACACGGAGGAGAGGAGAGATTAATTTGCTCAAGGTCACAAGCGAGTGTCTAGCTGTCTGGCTTCAGAGCTTGCTCCTAACTACTCTGTCATGATGTCTTCTCTTGGAGATTTAGAAATTTTTTTTTGTTTTCCACTTGAAGAAAAAAAAAAAAAACCCTGATGAAAGGAGCTCAGAAGTGCTATGCAATCCTTGCTGATCTAATATGAATTTAACCAGATGCATCTTTTCCCAAAGCCATAGGGTAGTCTCACCTTCTTTTAAATGTCTACAAGGCTTCCTTGGGGAAGTGCACAGTGGATCTACTTTAAATACCACTGCTAATTCTTGGCCTTAATTGTCTCTCTTCCAAATCATATTCAGACACACAGCTACCTCTGGAACACAGCAAATGAAACAACTGCTTGGGCTTCAAGCCTGTGCCCTGGAGGTCCTTGGTCTACTTGCTGGCACAGGTGGGCAAAGATTCATGGACGTTTTGGATGTAGAGAAAAAATTTGGCTCATCAAAAATATTTTTATGATCAGTCCATGAACTTTCACTATCAGCAAAGCACATGACTGCTCTGGCATCCTGTGTACACTCCCCTTGTAGGTGCTTCTTTTTAAGAAGAACTCATGCTCTTTTGAAGGCCTCTATTTACCGTATTTCCCCCCTAGTATTTTGGGGAAGATGGCTGGAGGTGGACACAGGGAATGGCTTGCTCTTGTCTGCATCGTAGTAAGGGACCTGGGCTTGAAGGCCCCTCAGGAGAGACCTTGCCTATATGTATTACTGCGGTGCCACATTTAATTCCTAACACATAAAGTAGGGAGGAATAGCGTCTTTTTAGAAATTCTATTTGCATGCTGTTGCCTCATCTGCTTATTTATTAAAATTATGGGCAGCCCTTATTCCTCCATATCCTCTGTGATCTTATTCTTCCTTCCCCCACAAATACTTCTCATAGATGAATTCTTGGAGTATATACATCAGAGTACATGCAAAAGGAAAGGAGAAGAATCAAGAACTTGCTGTGATGAACACATTTCTGCTAAGAAATACTGTAAAAATGCAGGCTTTATGAACTTGACAGACAAAAGTTACTTAAAGTGTAAAGCCTTCCCATCAGGATGGTAAGCTCCTGGCCATGCTAATCACTGCATTCCCATTGCCTGACTTAATGTCTATTACATAAAATGATTAAAAGTACTTATGGTAGCCTTAGTACATCCTATATGTATTTGTAGCTTTTGAAGAAATGCAATGAATAATATACAGGCTACCTTTTGAGAAAGAAGCATAAAGTGGGCATAGCCTAATTACAACATCCTTCCCCTCCCTTCACCCATCTGTTCCTCTTCCCTCACTCCATCTATTCTAACTATATACACTGATATTAACAGTAAATACTATTTTACTGACCATTACTATGGAGTGACGACTGCTAAGCATTTAACATGAATTAGCCAATTTAATTTTCATCACCTTATGGAGTAACAGAATTATAACATTATATTTCCTATTTCATAAATGAGAAAATTGAGGCACAGGAAATTAATAAGTTTCCTAAGATCAAAATACTAGCAAGTGGCAAAGCCAAAATTCTAACCAGGTAGTCTGATGCCAAAGTCTATATTCTTAATAAATAAGCTATGTCTACAACTCAGAAGAACCAGCACTGTGTATCTATATAAACTAGACCAGAAGCATTTTTAGATTGGTCAATGATTTACTTGAATGAAAAAAATCAGACAAAAAATGTAGAAATCTATATGTTTATTGGCCATTACTCTATCTCCTTTTGAAACAATGTTCAACATCACTAATCATAAGAGAAATGCAAATCAAAACTACAATGAAATATCACCTAACCCCAGTAAGAATGGCTTTTACCAAAAAAGTCCCAAAACAATAGATGCTGTGTGGATGCAGACAGAAAGGAACGCTTATACACTGTTGGTGGAACTGCAAACTACTGTGTTTCCCTGAAAATAAGACCTACCCATAAAATAAGCCCTAGCAGGATTTCTAAGCATTTGTGCAATATAAGCCCTATCCCCAAAATAAGACCTAGTGATGGGCGTGGCTATGCAGCACATCTGCACAACCCATGCATTTCGCTGTGGAGCAGTAAAGAAGATGAGCAGCCCTTCTCATCTGCCCCATGAGAGCTCTATTGCCTGACATGAGAGATTGGGGCCAATGGTTCTAAAGGAAATAGAGTCGAAAGAAATTCAGGATGGAATTCAGGGTTTGGAGAGTTATGATGATGTTC